TCTCAACACAAAACACAGTCCTAAAAGCAATTCACATCAAAATCCAAGAATCCTGAAAGCGTGAGCTGGAAATAGCACAGAACTGAAGCACTCCCAAAATGCAAATAAGGGGGGTCAATCAGTCCCCCTGCTGTGAAACAAAACTTGCATCCAAAACGGAGACACTTCTGTCCCACAGAAGCACATTTTAACAGAAAGTTAGTAATACAACGTCCAGCAAAAATATTTAACAATATTTCAGAACACAATCTTGAAACACAAATCACTTCCGCACAATCTCAGCACAATTCAGACACAGACAGACGAATAGACAGCAGCGCGTGGTGGAACATACAGTATAACGGGGGGAGACAGACACACAGCAATAGATCAACCCGCAGCCAAGCACGCACACAAACACAAAGAAACATACAAAACACAGAAACTTAGACAACGTCGTAGTTCAGTCAAGAAAAGACAGAAAAGAAAAGAAAATGTCAGGTGCCGGCGAAAAGAATGTATGACGCATCTTTTAATTTTCCAACTTCACTGTTACAAACCCCTTTTATTCTCATTTCAACTTCTCAGTCCTACACTTCAGAGCTGGGTCAAGCTCGAGGCGAAAATAAGCCTCAATTTAGTTTATTCGATCACTCAATCCGCCCAGTGACAAAAGGTTTTTTTCTTTTTCAGCTGGGGAGAGCGATTGAACCCGTATTAAATCAAATAATTTATTTTAGTCCTTTATACTATAAGCAACCCGATTAAGGGTGCCAAAGAAAGGTGATCCAACCTGCTATTAGTCCTTTATTTTCCACGAGTGATACAACTCGGTCCAATTAACCTGCTATTAGTCCTTTTCCATGAGTGATCCAACTCGATCCAATTAACCCAAATAATTATAAGTCCACTGGAGATGAGTCGAAATCTCCGGGCTGATACAAGCCCCTGCTAATTAATACACAGACACCCAAAATTCTTTTTTAGAGGCACAGGCATTGTTCCTCAGGGCTAAAGAATAAATTAATCTTTATTAATTAATCAATTAATTAATTAATCAATCAATAAAACCTTCTTTTTAAAAAACCCAGCTTAAGTCAGAGTTAACGTAAAGGCTCTGTTTGAACTAGCCACAGTTCCCTGTAATGTGTATTTATTCAAATCCTTAAACAACCGACTCTTTTAGGAGGGATTCTATCTACCTCTGCAGCTTCTGAATTCTGTGAGGCCGCACACAGCAAATCAGCCCCGGCCTGACCACACGGCGCTTCAGACAACTAAAAAAATAATCAAATACTGTCTTACCACACCGAAGCGTCGGGCCGAAACGGATCAATCAGGACCAAACAGCCGCCCGCCGAGACTCCAGAACCGGCACGAGCCCCCAATTGTAAAGGAAGAAAATATTCTAACATAGTTAACTTTGGAAAAAGGTTGGCTTCTCATTCTTCCCTCTCCAGGTCCACCCGGCGAGCTGCGCTTGGTAATAAAAACCAACATTGCGTGTTGACGTCACAGAAATACAGAGTTTAATCCAATATAAGACAATGCATAAACTTAGAAATAAGACAATGCACAAACCTACACCAGAAACTGCAGAACAACAGAGACATACATTCCATTACCTGACATAGGAGGAAAGAAAGCAAAGACGTACAAGACATCTTTGGAGAGTTTGCAAGAGCAAAATCTGATCTGTAACTTCTATTTAGAAAGCTTTATCCTCTTGTATCTAATCCATTCAAAAAGGGCTGGCCCTCGGTCCTCCAACCAGACGCCATCTCTGACACTGCCTAGAGCTTCCCCTTATTTACTGCAAACATCTGGGGTCATTTGCTTCTTTGTTTTAACAAGAAAAGGCGGAAAGCTTGTCCTGGCATCTAGAATTCTTAGGGTCATAAAACACAAGATAAGCTTCCACAGAATTGATGTGGAATGCGGGGGCCTTTTTCCTGATTCAGTTTCACACCATCCCTGGTTGTTTATTCTGGAAGACTTTTGACCTTCTGTAAACCAAGCAGAAATCTCTCCTGCAGGCTTAACTGTTATTCACCCCCCAGGAGATACTCATTCTATGGCCTGGTGCTCTAAATACTTACCCATTAGTAGTTTTAAATCATTAACACAGCCTTGTTCAAAATTAAGAAATATGTTCAAGTGAGAGTGTTTACACATGCCATAAGATTAACTGTATTAAAAGCTAAAAATAATCATTTTTCTTTAACAACATTCATTTAAATGAGAAATGTCATTTAGAAACACCTTTACCTTTCAGAGAATGTCCACAGCTACCAAATAACAAGCAGCTTGCAACAGCTTACTTATCAAATGGAAAATGTATAAGAATCTCAACTACAAAGGATTTCATAAAGTTCATGGAGAACATTCTGCATCACAGACAGTGATGCAGAAGCAGTAGATGGTAAAACGTGGTAAATCCCACACCACGATGTATGTATTAACCAAGGAAGCCTGACAAAATTAGAGTAACTTTTGACTGTTCTGCGAAACATGAGGGTACATCCTTAAATGATCACTTGCTCACAGGTCCAGATTTGACTAATACTCTGGCAGGGGTTTTGTGTAGATTTCGAAAGCATCAAATTACACTAATGTGTGATGTGGAAAAAATGTTTCACAGTTTCCATGTCAGCCCAGTGGACTTCCTAAGATTCCTGTGGTTAAATGACGGCAATACCGTTACTTAGCCAAAGGAATATCACATGCGAATGTACATCTTTGGAGCGGTATCTTTTCCAGGATATGCTAACTATCAATAGCATGAAATATCTTGAGCGTGAGTACAAGAAAGGTTACCTTTTGGCAGCCAGATTTATTGAAAAAAAGTTCTACATGGATGATGGGCTAACTAGCATTGATTCAGTTAATAAAGCAAGGCAACTGGGCCCATGGTCTGTGAAGCACAAGAAATGTGTGCAAAAGGTAAACTGGGCTTAAACAAGTTTGTGTGCAACAAGAAAGAGGTATTCAGTGTTATCCCGAAAAAGGAACGAGCCATCAATGTTAATGATGTACTGTAACCTTGAACTACTCTGAAATTTCAATTCAAACTGTATTGTGAGTGAAATGGAATGCTGAGACAGACATGTTCTCATTCAGTGTTGCCCACAAAGAAAGGCCAGAGACACATATTGAGGAAACCTGGCAACAGTTGCAAGTGTGTACGATCCGTTAGGATTTCTTTTGCCCTACACTTTAAGTGGTAAAAAATACTACAGGAAATGTGCAAACGTGGAGTAGGATGTGGTGAATCTATTCCACTCTGGACAAATTGGGACGCTTGGATCTGCGAATGAGAAAAAAAAAAAGAAAATCACACTCCAAGATGCCTCATTACATTGGGGACATGTCCCCTGCACTTTTTCAAAAGTCTGTTCTTGTTCCCCTGCACTTTTCACTGTTCAAGGACCAAGCAGAAAACCGCAGCTAAAGCTGATGTCCACTTCCCTGTGTTTAGACCGCCTCCAAGCTCCTGATTGGCCCTTCGTCTTTTCTTTTGTGATTAGACGTTACCGGTGTCCCTCCTGAGAAGCTCACTTTACAAACATCTGATGCGTCACTGAATCTTGCCTGAGATTGGATGGTCCCAGTGCTGCTGAAGTCCTTTAAACTACCAGAATTAGAACTAGGTAACTAAAATGGTCCAGGAGTTAGAGTCTTGGAGAAAAATACTACAGATGGTGAGGTAATCTACTACAATAAATTTGGCTATGTTCTTTTAGAGTCACATAATCTAGAAGGGTTGTAATATCAAATGTATTGATTTAATGTAATCTTTGAATTGACGTAATTTGCGTGCATGTGTCTGTGTGTGTGTTTGGTTATTAGAGTTGGATAGAGTTTCAGGAAACCTAAAAAAAAGAAATAGAGTTATAAGAGACTTCTCTTTTTACATTCAAAGAACTGTGTAACACTGATCCTAAAGCACATTCACTGGCTCCAAAACGCAGCACATCCACTTCAAGACCCTCCTTCAAATTATAAAGCTCTCAAGTTTATAATTATTGTAAAACTGTGTTTTTAATGACATTTCATAATGCTATGACTTTATTAATGTATCGATTTGATTCTTGTACAACTTACATTAACATAGAACTTAATTTTTGTAATAAAAAAAAATACTTAGTATGGCCCCCAATAATTCATCTTAGATGCATCTTGGTGGTTTTCTCTTGGTTTTGTATTTTTATTGTTTCACAGCATGATGTACGATGGCTGAAACATTTGTGGCTGCACAATTCAATTGTATTGCTGGAACTGTAGGTACAAAATAATGTTTTTTCCACAAAAATGTCCGCAGCATGGGCCGACTAGACATTTCAATGAAGAATGTCTCCTACAAGAAGAAGATATTTTCATAAAACCTGCTGGGCCTCCTCCTCCTAACACTGCAGCAATCAGCAATTCTCTAGTCTGCTCCGCCCATAAAATGGCTGATTCTTTTTTTTGTTTTTTTTAACAGTGTCCTGTCGCGCAATGTGGCAACAAGAATATTGTGTTGTTGCCAAAAAAGAACCCAACAGATTTTGCTTTCACAAGTGGAGTGGTACGGCTATCGCCATAGTGTTCAGCGTGATTTCTGCATATAAATCTTTATTATAATTCATGCAGGGAGTATTACAGATTATATGGACACTAAGTAGAACAGGAAAGGAAAACCAGGAAAAGGAGATAAGATGAAAGAAAGAGGAGATAAAAGGGAGACAATGATAAAATGTCTTCAGTCTGCTTCATCACCTGCAAAGAGAGATGTAAAAAGAACAGCACAACCAAAGGACATAGTATAAGAGATACAATAAAGTAGCACCATAGACACTATTCCTGAAATAATAAGTGGTATTATTTAATCTGACATATATATAGTGTGTTAGCTAAAGATCAGAATATGAGCTTTCTGTATGGAAGAAAATCTCTAAGTACCTGGAACCAAGCACCTGTAGTTGTTTGTGACCCATCTAGTTCCTGCTCCAGATAAGCACAAGCCCCCCGGGGACGGGTACATGTCCCGCACCAGGAGACGGCATGGACCAGGACTGAGACAGGGGGCCGGACACAAAGCCATTAAAACATCCACACACACCCTCCAGGGGCCCCACTCCAAGACCCAAGGACCCCCGAACCAGCCCCCGTGCCCCACAGGACGCATCCCACAGCCCCTCACTCCACTAAGTGATGGAGCCGATCAAGGGAGCCCAAAGAGATCGGCCTGATAGGGACGCACATGATGTCTCAAGATAAATATGATCCAACAAAAGAACTCTATACTGATTGATACTGCGTTTTTTTCTTACTTTTCCAACTCACAAGAATAGTTTTCCTTGTGATACATAAGCCATAATTCCGTAAAAATTCAAAAAATATCCACTGGACTTGGTTTTCAAGATTTGAAGACGTTTCGCCACCTCTCCAGGAAGCTTTCTCAATTCAAATGTCTGGATCCGCAGTGAGTTTGAGTCTTATATAGACAACGCCTTGTATCGCTTGGAAACATGCAATGGTAACCGATGAATGGGTCGTTAGTTCCATCGTTAGCCTGTAATATCTGAACCTGTCTATGATTCTAGGGGTCGGTAGTAAAAGGGGGGATTGCCATTAAGGGGGGGGATTGTCTCCTGTAATACCTGAAACCTGTCTATGATTGTTAAGGGTTGGTCGTTAAGGAGGTATTGTTCACCGGCTGGGGCGGGTAGGTCCCTCGTTCCTCTGTGGTGGGGGGTTTGGTAATATCTGGAAGGGATCATGTCTATGATTGAATTGTATGTTTTTGGAAGCTGGAATCTGAGTCCACCACCTCTGTTTAAAGTTGGTTTTTCTCTCTTAACATAGATGGCATAGAAAAACCAACTTTAAACAGAGGTGGTGGACTCAGATTCCAGCTTCCAAAAACATACAATTCAATCATAGACATGATCCCTTCCAGATATCACCAAACCCCCCACCCCACCACAGAGGAACGAGGGACCTACCCGCCCCAGCCGGTGAACAATACCTCCTTAACGACCAACCCTTAACAATCATAGACAGGTTTCAGGTATTACAGGAGACAATCCCCCCCCTTAATGGCAATCCCCCCTTTAACGACCGACCCCTAGAATCATAGACAGGTTCAGATATTACAGGCTAACGATGGAACTAACGACCCATTCATCGGTTACCATTGCATGTTTCCAAGCGATACAAGGCGTTGTCTATATAAGACTCAAACTCACTGCGGATCCAGACATTTGAATTGAGAAAGCTTCCTGGAGAGGTGGCGAAACGTCTTCAAATCTTGAAAACCAAGTCCAGTGGATATTTTTTGAATTTTTACGGAATGACTTTGACCTGGATGACTGAGAACCTTCATCAGCATAAGCCATAATGCAAACAATTTTCCCCCCCCAGAGAGCCTCCCTCAAAGTCACCTAGCAAGCAAACTGATGAGGAAGGTAAAATTTTACAATTCAGGCACTGTGATAAGTCCTTAAATACCTGTACCCATAACCTCTGAACCGGTTTGCATAACCATAAAGCGTGAACGTATTTATCAAGATGATTAACTTTGCACTGTGGACAGATATTAGATTGTGCAATACCCATCTTCAATAATATAATATGCCTTTATAGTGTACTCTGGATAGGATTTTGTATTGTATTAGTTGTAAATTGGGGTTTCTAATCATGTTAAAAGTTCTTAGACATATCTGAGCCCAGATGTTTTGTTCAAGGCTGACTGATAAATCCTCAACCCATAATATAGGACCCATTCATAATAGGAAGAGATATTGTATCATCCAGTTTTGGGGGGTTTAACTCTAGGAACTCTAATACATTAGTTGGAATTTGTAAACCACTATCAACATGCTTATATTAGTGTCTAATTATAAATGTAATTTTTTCATATTCTAAGAATTTAGTTTTGTTAATGCCATATGCATATTTAATCTAGCAAATGTGATTAACGCTGTTCCTTGAAAAAAATGATCCAGATATTCAATATCTTTATTGAATATCTGGTGTATATAAAGTTTATTGTATTATTATTTTGTGTAATGTCAGGATTATTCCAGATAGGTGTACGGCTGCACGGGATAAGTGATGACTTTGTCATTTTAAGAAACTCCCACCATGCTGTGAAGGAAGAACTGACGTTTATATTTTTAAAGCATGAATGCCGTTTTATATTTGAGCTAATAAACAGCAAATCTGAAATTACTGTATTACTGCATATTTCCTGTTCTGTGTCTATCCAAAATGGCTGAGTCTTTACCTATAAAGCTAGATATTTCATAGCATCATGCTGTTGCTGACAATTTGATATCAATGTAATAGCTTGAAAGAGGCTTTAAAGTGTTTTGCAAATATCCTGCCACTGCAGCATTCTCCTTCTCATTCTCGTGGTCTCGCTGGTCACCTCTGAGTATCCCCGAAATCCATCTTAAAAACAACACAACACTCTTTTCTGGGTGTTGTGTTGGACATCCGCTGAACAGCGCGGGAACTTCAAACACAAAGCATACCGTATTTTCACGACCATAAGGCGCACCGGACTAAAAGGCGCACTCTCAGTTATGTGTCCCATTTCTGTATTTAACACACACATAAGGCGCACCGGACTATAGGGCGCGTTTTTTATATACAGGTACATGTCCTCTCAGGTGGATTTTCCCACTTAAAAACATATTAAAACTACTTTATTCCCACTGATCACAGCAAATAAAGCTGCAAGGTGTATTTATTACAAAGTATTATTCAAACCTGGGAGCTGGCCATGAGAGACACATCGCTGATGACACAGGGCTGTGATTACTCCTCTGATACAATTTATTGACGCATAAATTAACTTAAAACATAGGCAGGATAATAATCTGGATGAACTGACTGCAATGATTAAATTTTCAGGTGGACTTTCTCACTTAAAAAGATTTAGATTATTTAGATGAAAAAACACCTGCCGAGGTGAGTCCGGATGCGCGGCCCAGAGCCTGCTGTTGAATTAAGTTTTCAGGTAGAAAAATAGAGCGGGAGCAAAACTGAGTATGATTGTGCTTTATTCAAGTATTTATTACAAAGTATTAATCAAACCCCTCAAAGTCCTCATCCTCTGTTTCTGAATTAAACAGCTGCGCTAAATCCGACATGCCGGTTTCCCCTTCTTCTTCGTTTATTGACGCATACATTAACTTAAAACATAGGATAATAATCTGGATGAACTGACTGCAATGATTAAATTTTCAAGTGGACTTTCTCACTTAAAAAGATTTAGATTATTTAGATGAAAAAACACCTGCCGAGGTGAGTCCGGATGCGCCGCGGCCCAGAGCCTGCTGTTGAATTAAGTTTTTTAGGTAGAAAAATAGAGCGGGAGCAAAACTGAGTATGACTGTGCTTTATTCATGTATTTATTACAAAGTATTAATCAAACCCCTCAAAGTCCTCATCCTCTGTTTCTGAATTAAACAGCTGCGCTAAATCCGACATGCCGGTTTCCCCTTCTTCTTCGTTTATTGACGCATAAATTAACTTAAAACATAGGCAGGATAATAATCTGGATGAGCTGACTGCAATGATTAAATTTTCAGGTGGACTTTCTCACTTAAAAAGATTTAGATTATTTAGATCAGTGGTCTCCAACCCTGGTCCTCAAGATCTACTGTCCTACAGATTTTAGATGCATCCCTGCTTCAACACAGCTGAATCAAATGAATGGCTTGAAAAGGTAATCAATCATTTGATTCAGCTGTGTTGAAGCAGGGAAAATCTGTAGGACAGTAGATCTTGAGGACCAGGGTTGGAGACCACTGATTTAGATGAAAAAACACCTGCGGAGGTGAGTCCGGATGCGCGGCCCAGAGCCTGCTGTTGAATTAAGTTTTCAGGTAGAAAAATAGAGCGGGAGCAAAACTGAGTATGATTGTGCTTTATTCAAGTATTTATTACAAAGTATTAATCAAACCCCTCAAAGTCCTCATCCTCTGTTTCTGAATTAAACAGCTGCGCTAAATCCGACATGCCAGTTTCCCCTTCTTCGTTTATTGACGCATAAATTAACTTAAAACATAGGCAGGATAATAATCTGGATGAGCTGACTGCAATGATTAAATTTTCAGGTGGACTTTCTCACTTAAAAAGATTTAGATTATTTAGATGAAAAAACACCTGCGGAGGTGAGTCCGGATGCGCGGCCCAGAGCCTGCTGTTGAATTAAGTTTTCAGGTAGAAAAATAGAGCGGGAGCAAAACTGAGTATGATTGTGCTTTATTCAAGTATTTATTACAAAGTATTAATCAAACCCCTCAAAGTCATCATCCTCTGTTTCTGAATTAAACAGCTGCGCTAAATCCGACATGCCAGTTTCCCCTTCTTCTTCGTTTATTGACGCATAAATTAACTTAAAACATAGGCAGGATAATAATCTGGATGAGCTGACTGCAATGATTAAATTTTCAGGTGGACTTTCTCACTTAAAAAGATTTAGATTATTTAGATGAAAGAACACCTGCGGAGGTGAGTCCGGATGCGCCGCGGACCAGAGCCTGCTGTTGAATTAAGTTTTCAGGTAGAAAAATAGAGCGGGAGCAAAACTGAGTATGATTGTGCTTTATTCATGTATTTATTACAAAGTATTAATCAAACCCCTCAAAGTCCTCATCCTCTGTTTTTGAATTAAACAGCTGCGCTAAATCAGACATGCCAGTTTCCCCTTCTGCGCTGTCAGAGTCACTTTCCGTGCAGCGCGGCTCCTCAGAAATAATGCCTGCTTTTGCAAAAGCTTGAAGAACAGAGCCAGCAGACACGTTATTCCTCGCTGCTTCTGCTGCACCTGCTGGGTCCGGTTCACACCGATGTCGAGCGGTTGAACAGCGAGCACAGGGTTAATTTGTTTCCCCATGTTTTTCACATCAGCTGTGAGATGGGCACGCATGGAGTTACAGATTAATGGTGATGAGTGGAAAAAAAACAGCTGGTCTCCTTACATTCAGCCACTCTTTCATCATCTCCTCAATGAGGTGGTCTCAAAAGTCGCAGTTACAACACACATAGGGCGCACCGCACCATAGGGCGCACCGCACATTTTGAGGGGGAAAAAAGACGTTTAAGTGCGCCTTATAGTCGTGAAAATACGGTATTCACAAAAGTAGGCTACAGGCTTACAGATGCATTGGTGAACTACTGAGATGTCAGTCGTAAGGGTAAAATAAAAAGGCATTTTACAGATATCTTGCAGTGTCTTTATGACAACAATTTGTCTTGGAGCAAGACTTCAGTGTGAAACCAAAACAAATTTTGAAACTTCTTGTAAGGCAGAGGGGGTTCTGATAAATCACATGATCTATTGGAACTGAAAGTGAAATAAAAACATCTATAAAAAGACCTGAGCTCTTGCCTTGACCACCACTGCAGCAGCAGCCCTCTTCCCTACAGAATAGCATCTACTCAGCTAGGTTCGGCAAATTACAGACCTGCAGAAAAACTGCAATAATCGAAAAATAGGTGTGCTTGAGAAGTTTTGGACAATTGTCTTTTTTTATTCAAAATTTTAAACTGACCATTGGTTTTATATGTGTTGATGTCTATTGAATTAAGAAGTTAAAAGAAACAACATAGGGGAAAAAAACTATCACTTTGTTTTTGCACTCCCTTTTACAACATATTTATTTTTCTGATAGTATATATTTTGTCCCAGTCATGGGGGGTAACTCTTCAAGACCAGGTAAGGAATACAGCTTTACTTGATTGAGATGCATGCTTTATATACAATAATTAACTTTTACAGTTCTTAGTTAAATGATTGTACTGTTAAACTTTCCAGAATAAACCCTGTAGAATCTGAGTGTGGTTTAGCAAGCAATGGAATAACAAAAACATTTTGGAAAATGCATTGCTTTTTTTGGAATTGTGAAATTATCTTGATGACAAATCTAACTAGACCTCTTTAATCTGTCTAATCAGAACCACAACCACAACGTCCACCCAGTAAGTACTATATATTTTTTTTTCACAATAGCAAATGCAAATATTTTGTTTTGCATGCCTCCCCTGCCAAATATAAAAAAACAACAGTTATGTTGACTATTTCGTAAGCTAAATGTTAACATCTACAACGTTTTAGGTAATAGTTTTGACCTATTTCAATGTCCTTTTTTTAAATTAGCTCCTCCACCATCTCCACGTAAGTTGAGCTTATTTAATCATGCATCATAAAATATATTGATCAGTTATTCAAATAATTAATAGACATTTAATTAACTATACCTTTTTTGTTAATGAGATGCAGTTTTAGTTTTGACATTGGTCCCAATCTTTAATTACAGTTTTGAAAAATCCATGGAGAGAAATATCCTGGAGGTCAGTAAATTTTTTTTAATGTGTCTGAATGTTGCCAGTGTGCTCAGTGCTCTTTGCATCATCAGCCAGCTAATCACCTAATTTAAAGTTTATCTTTCAATTTATTCTTAATTAACGTGTTCTTATTCCATCCAGTTAGCATGATTATATCTGAAAAATCATTTTAAATGAGACTACCAATAAACAGTACAAGGGAAAAACAAAATGGCTACTGCAGACAAGAAATTGCAAAACTGGAAAAAGGTTCACAATAAAACAAAAGGATAAACATTATTTTTTACATCAGAGGTTTTTACAAAGATATATCCCCACACAGATATAACCACCACAACCTTTGTTATATTTAACCTGTAATCAAAACTGCTACTCTTGTTCAGCTGGATTCTAAACCTAAAATAATATAAATTCCCTTAAAGTTTAGAAGAAAAATCCCTTATTGTGATTCAATTAAACTCTGCTCCAGGCAAAAGAGGGTATAGAACTGTTCTAGCTTAACCTAAAAGGGTATATATAGTAAATAATGTGGAACGGACTATGGATTTATATTTTCTGTTGTACCCTACTCCTTAATAACCACCCAGAAAATCAATATGCACAACGTGTTCTAGGTTTTACACCTCACGTATAAAAAAAAATTATTCAATTCAATTCAGTTTATTTCTATAGCGCCAATTTACATCACATGTCATCTCAAGGCCCTTTACAGTTCACCAGATCATACAGTCAATCTAAAGAAAACCAGTTGATTGCATCGACTCATTGACTCAGATGCAATCCATCACACTAGGCATGCTTGTAGCAAGAGTGGAGAGGAAAAACTCCCTTTTAACACATATTTTGTTTTGTTATTTGAGGAGACTGCCAGAGGTCATTAAAAAAACTGACCATGCAACAGTTAACACCCAGCAACTTCAAGGCATGTTTAACAACCTTTGGTGTAAAAGCAAAAGGGGTGTAAAAGTTTCCAAAGTGAGCTTAGAGTCTAGACTTTGAAGTAGAAAATATGGGTGTACTATGAAACATCTATTACTATGAAATATCTATTTACAGGCAGTAGCATAAAGCAACTTTCATTTTATAAGAGGTAATTAATTATATGTTGTTTTCTAAAAGGTAGCCCTTTAAAATAGCATGTAATAAAGTTTTAACCTGAAATAAATTACAAAAAATATATATACATGAGATTTAAATATTCTTAAGAAATAAAGTAAATTAAATAAGTTAAACCAACATAAGTAAATTAAAATACTTAACTTTAATAAAGATGAAGTTATATACATACAGTAGGGCCTTGTTTTGTTGATGTCATAAAGAAGAAGAAGAAAAAGATTAAATCACTAAAAAATGTAAAAAGGAAAGATGATTGGGGTTGTAAAGGCAGGTCTTTTAACACATTTTTCTTTGACTGATACATTATTAAAGATGTTGACAAAATGTTGCCTTGTGGATAAAAGGGGGAGGAGCCCTGAAATGTTTTGGCAGATGAAATTTGCAAAACTATAACCTTTATTTTAATATTTTAACAGCAAAAAACAGGAGCTTCTGCAGTACATAAAGAATTTTCAACCTCAAAATGAAGGAATCACAGCAATCAGAGTTTTGCTGTATGGACCAGTTGGTGTGGGGAAGTCCAGCTTCATTAACTCTGTTAACAACGTCTTACAAGGAAGAATGACAAATGAAGCCTTGGCCAGTTCCACGACCTCTGATCAAAGCTTCACCAAGAAGGTAAATATATAATGAGACAATATGTAATTTGTTTTTACATTTTTAGACATGAATTTGTGTTTACGGTGTTAGGGCCTAATCCACTAAGATCCTAAAGGAGGAGTTCCAAACTGAGTGCAAAAAAGTAAAGAAAATTACAAATGCAATTAGTGGTCGTGTTGCAGTGATTGTACTAAGATGTGCTGTTGAAAAAAAAGCAAGTTTAGGCAAGTTCTATAAGTACTGCAGTATCCTCAATTTTTTAAATATACAAATTCTTATAAATGCAAAAATGAGTCTTGAGACCTTCTAAAAAATGCATATCCTTTTCTTACACTTAGTTGTAACCTTGTTGTTATTTACTAATCCACCAAAGTAATAAGTGATCTTTTTTTTGGAAAACAAAAAAAATTTTTTATGTCTCAGTATAAAAAAATAATGTATTTTGGTAATTGGTATCAACAGGTATGCTGTGTACACACACACACACACACACACACACACACACACACACACACACACACACACACACACACACACACACACACACACACACACACACACACACACACATACATACATACATACTTTTTAACTTCCTTTTGATTTTTATTCTCAGTATCAAACCTATAAAATCAAGAAAGAAAGCAGAGGAAACTTTTACCCTTTTGTGTTCAATGACATCATGGGTCTGGAGGATGGAGAGGGAAGAGGAGTCAGTTCAGATGACATCAAACTGGCCATGCAGGGACATGTGAAGGACAATTATAAGGTACTTCATTTTAAAACATTATGCATTAGTCACCTACATACTTATTCTCTTGGGTTCCAAAGCTATCATAGTTATCCCGCTTTACTTAAAGAGCAGATTGCAGGTTAGAGACTTAGTGTTTAAAAAAATACATGAAGAATTCGTTTTTGAATCCAAAGCTAATTATATATGAACAGTTTCGGCTTTTTGCTTTTTTTTTTTTGTAAAAAACCTTTACATCATATTTATAGCAACACTGAACGTAATGAAACATGGGTGAAGCAAACAAAACAAAGGATACCAATGCTAGATAACTAAGAGACTTTAAATGTGTACAACTAGACAAACGATGGATCACAACCCTGTAAATATGAGCCTGCTGCAAACCTAACTGAGCAGAGGGGGCAAGAATTAATGGTCAAAGGAGACAGATTGAGTTGTGGTTTTAGAGCAGGCAGTGGAGTAACTGATGGCAATTTCACTATTGATTATATGAAACTGCTTTGCTACTTGCGTTAATTATGGGCGAAATCCACCCAGGATGTAGACATGACCAAAATGGCGCTCTCTCACGGTGTGGGATTTGGACTTGATCATATGTTCTGACTGCAGCGTGCAAAGCACAATTCACATGTGACTCAAACAAAAAACATTACCTGCAGGTCATGAATAAACATATACATATTGAGAGAATTCAAAAACTTTGTTTTAGGTCCTTTGTACGTGGAGGTTAAATAAAACTTTATATCTTAAAATCCAAAAAGAATGAGTTACACTATCAAATCAATGATTGTATCTAGTTTAGAGTTACAGTCATTAGTTTGAATGAACAGCTACATGTTACACTTTTTTCAGTATAATACCAATGTGTCTAATGTGAAGTAAACCAAGGTTTATGACTGCTAAAAGCCAGAAATGTCTGAAAAGTCTTAATTTGCTAATTTTCCTCACAGACACTTATGTAGGATGGAAGAAAGTATTCCTCTCTGTGGATTCATGAGAGTTGAGAGTGACCTTAACTGACTCAGAAGCAATTTAAATGCAGTAAGGTTTTATTTCAGCTCAGCTAAGTGCTGACCTTCAGGTTTAAATGTTTGTAGCTTCTGTCTATATGTTGGTATGAAATGAAAGCAGATAGTCATCATTGGTGTCTAATTCTCAGTCCAATTCAGTATAATATATATGTTATGTTCTTTTTTCTGCAGTTCAATCCTGCATCTACACTTTCTTCTGGTGATTTTGCGTACAACTCTTCCCCATCCATCAGTGACAGAGTCCATGTTCTGGTTTGCATTTATTCTGCTAATGCAGCACAGATGAATTCCTCTGTCTTACAGAAAATGAAGGCTATCAGAGAGGCTGCCAGTGATCTGGGTAAGGAAAAAAATATTATCCAAACACTTATTTGGTTAGGGGATGGATTTCTGTGGATCCCTGTAGTAAACAACACATTGTAAGAGAATGGCTTAACATATGATTTATTTTGTTTTATTTGTTTTTCTCTCTCTTATTTTGGTTCTGGGATGTACTTTCTATGATATGTTCACATATTTGTTTTAACTATGGTCTATTTGTATGTTTCAAAGAAAACAATAGAAAGAAAGGATTATAAAAAAAAATTCTACTCACACTTACCAGGAAAATATCCGTATTCTCAGGTATTCCTCAGCTGGCAATTCTCAGCCACGTTGATAAAGCCTGTGGTGAAACAGAAACAAATCTGAGAAATGTCTACAGGAGCAAATACTTAAAGAAAAAGGTGAGTTGTAATAAAGTAATTTAAAAACCCTAAGAAAAAAACAGACAAAAAAAAAATACATATATATATTTTTTTTTATATAAAATTATTCTATTGTATTTTATTATATTATATAGATGGGTGACTTCAGTTCTAGCCTGGGGATTCCCATGAACTGCATTCTTCCACTGAAGAACTACAGTGATGAAACCGAGCTCAAGGAAGATGTTGACAACCTGATCTTGGCTGCACTGAAACTGATGATTGACTTTGGAGACGACTATGCTGAAAAACTGTGTGGGGATACACATTGATTCACAGCAGAATATTGTTCAAAGACATAAAGTACTTTATTTAATCGTGGAATAAAATGTGAGTTAATACGCAGAAAATGTGGGTTCTGAAAATAAATTATATAAATGTCAATTTTAGGGTTAGTCAATTAGGACGGGATTACATTGCAGCTAACTCCTCAAATAAGGATGTTTTATTTGCCTTTAGTTCAAGCTTACTTTAAATATATCTTTTCATATTCTGTTTTGTTAAATGATTGTGTTTTCTTTAGCTGAAAGCTAAAATCAATTTTAACAGACATAAAGCCTGATAATAATATGTCAATGTAATTAATCATCATTTTGTGTTTCACTTAGTAAATTAGGTTACTGAAATAAAAACTTAAGAATAATTGTTTCTCTGTTATTGGTCTGCAAAGAAACTTTGCAAAGGAAAAATGTGTGATATGACATTATTAAAGATTACTCAAGACAACAAACCTCCTCAAAATGATCTGTTTTTGATTATTTGTGCTGAAATTGCTAAGGTATCTAAAAAAAAAACAAGCTTATCAAAATAATGCTTAAATAATTAAATTAAATATATTTGAAATTCTGCTAACAAGTACTGCTAAGCTGTATGGTTTCTTCCCCACTTCCATTAGACTGCTCAATATTGTATAAAATGGGGGTTATAAAAAAAAAAAGGTCAGTTGTATATTTGCATTTATCACTGCTTACCTTCTATCACTGCTGCACATTCGAAAAAATGAAAATGTCTTGAGAGCTGTACTGAACGAAATTTCTTTTTATATACACTCTGTGTGTACAAAATAACAATAAAGTATGTCTAAGTCTGGCTATATCAAAAATGATTGTGTTCCTGCCATGGAGACATACTAGCACATTTCAATATATAGATGCTTTTAGGTAGCTATATCCATGGAACAATGCTAGCTTTGCTGGAGGTCATGTTTAGTGGAAAAATGCAAATGGAGTGTTTATTTATTTATTTGTTTGCTTTGGAATATTTTCACAGAGCACTTTTGCTCCCTTAAGGGCACTATCTGTGATGAAAGACCTTTCGTGAATAGAAAGCATATTAATTCAATATTCATGCAACATATTTGAAATAGAAAGATGTCTAAAAAATAAAAACCTTGAGTTGGCCCGCTTACCTCAGGATATAATAATTATACTAACTGGAATTTTAACATTTGTATCGGGAACAAATTTGTACTGGGAATAAATTTTGCATTTTTGTGATATTACACAATTATGCCAGGCTAATTTCTCTGTTTAAAAATTGCTTATATTGCAATTTATCAAGAGAAAGGACCTCATAACACTTCATACTAGATACATTTTTTTCACCTATCCAGGCATACACTCTAATGGTAGTGAGCTAAATTGTATGCAGAGCTGCCTTGTTGCAGACAGAAATAAGTGAGGCGGCCACTGGGCAATTATACCAACAGCAGCAGGTAAGGCAAGTAAAATGTCCTGCCCAAGACAATAACATAAACAAATGGAACAGGGCTCCAACATAGCATACATTAGCAAACAAAGTTCATTTTTGTGCAATACCCATTCTCAGACATTATTTAAACATATTCATGTACAGAAGTATCTTAAATAACACATGAGCCATGGTCATGGGCGTAGGTTTGCATAGGGACCATAGGGACATGTCCCTACCAAAATTTTGGACGGACCTATTTGTCCCTACCAATAATTGGATGTAAACAACATGTTTATAATTTACTATACAGTAGCCGCTTCTTTTCCTCTCGCAGCTTCTCTGCCTGGTAGCTGCAGCTGCCTGCTCTTTCCTGTCCCTTTCACATAGCAGCGCATCAACTGTGCTGCGCGGTTTAACTCTCTGATTATTCTGCCTTAAGTTCCGCTTTCTCTCTTTTTGATTGCATGTTTTTCTAGTCTGTATGTGCGCGAAAAAAAAGGCGCTAAAATAAATTAATATTGGGCTACGAAACTAGTCCGAATAAAAAAAAAAATTATCTACGCTAAAACAGGCGAAAGCTTCTGATTGGAGTTCTGTAAAGAAACAGGAGAGAGTTTTTTGATTTGTGGAACTTGAGAAATGTAAGTTAACAACGTTAGGATTTCTTTTATTTTATCTTTAACTCAGATAGCCAAAGGCTCCTTAAAGAAGATCTTTTATGAAATGAAACCAGGTGAAACAGAAACGTTTAAACGTTTCCTTTGAAGGAGTTCTGGATGGAGAATATTGACAGACAAAAACAATTTTTTTTTACTTCTTAAATGCAAAATGTTTACATATTTTTTTACAATCTTGGTATAATTCCTGCTCTAAGTGGGTCGCTCTGTCGGCTAAAGGCACATTTTAGTGGCCCTATACTCCAGTTTACGATTAATCAATTACATAGTTCACGATTATTTAAATAATTTGTTAATATGATTAATTGTTTCAGCCATAGATAAAATACATGAAATTAGCTACACAGAGTAACTACAGCCCAGATGTACAACTTCTAATATTAATATTTTAAATGCTCAGTGTCAGTTCCTCTTCTAGTTCCAGTGCACATGTAAATACAATACATTTATTTGCTGTCCCTTGAATGTATTATTTTGCATGATCCAGAGAGATCATATTAGATAAAAAAAAAAAATAAGAGTGGGTTTTACCTCTGCACAATTCTATATCTTCAGAAGAAAACACAGGATAAATCCACATATTATAGACTATATTTGGTTAAACAGACACTGTCTTAGTCGCAGGTAAATTTAAATGCAATCCTTTTCAAAAAGGAAAAAGTCCTAAATCCACATTCATCAGAGCAAGTTATGCTTTAAATATTGATAAACAGCATCTAGTGCATGTAGTGCTTATAAGATTTGTATTAATGTAGCAAGAAATGCTGCTGTTCTCTTTTAACAAAATGAGCCCTGAAGCTCACATTAAGCATAAAAAAGAGCATGCATATTTTTTGCAAAGGACCAATGAAACTGAAGAATAGTGTCCCTACCAAAGTTGAAATCAAACCTACGCCCTTGGCCATGGTCATAATGTAATGTCCTGATCAAGAAGATTGTTTATATGAAGATTGTTTATATGATAATGTAAAGCATGCCTCATTGCAAAATTTTCTGCAATGCGATTAAGTTTGGCTAGAATTGCTGTCTGCACTCAATTAAACATAATTTTACTTCTGATTAATACATATAATTCCACAAAGGCTAAAGGTTGTGCTCAAGTTTAAAAAGATACAATTGGCTACTGCTGCTTTTGGTGAGACGTATCGTGTACACTTCCTGTTTGGACTACTGAGCAGTGTTGCTGCCGTCCAGGCTATCGCCGTCTGAATTAAGTTCTTTTTTCTGTGATATCTCTGTATCTTAGTAACTCTAAATGTGCAGAACCACTTTAAAACACAGCGCCTTCTGCTGCACTTTTCTACTGAGCACTTGTTGCTTTTACATATGGTTTTATTTCTGATAGTAAGGAGTAGATAGCCTAGGCTAGTTCTAGCTATGGCTTCTCTTTCTCCCTCCCTTGACTCTTTTCCAACTCTTCATTCTTCCTATCCTCTCTCCTGCTCTCTGTGTCAGATGTTCAGTTATTCCTCTGCGTCCATTAGTGATAATGGTTTGTGTAATACGTGTAGTATTTTTTTAGCTGTGGAGGCAAGGGTGTCAGAGGCTGCGTCTCAATTCGCAGGCTGCATACTTCGGAGGACGCATTTTAAGGCCGGTGACGTCACAACGCTGCACGGAGGCTGTCCCATTTGGCAAAAATTCTGAGGACGCTTAAAATGCAGCCTTAAAATGCATCCTCCTTTTCCCCAAATTCTGAGGATGCATCGCTACCGTCCTTAGTGGCCTCGCCTCCCACTAGATTTCCCGAGGTGCTTTGCGTGTTTTTTTTTTTTTTTATAGTTGAAGAAGAAGAAGAAGAAAAAAGTCGGATTTTCTTCAAATTACGGACAACGGAAAGCAGCAGCAGCGCCGGCAGTAGTGCGGAGAACACCTTTAAATGTAAGTAGTTTGTTTTTGTTTTTTTATCTGAACATCTATTAAAATACATGACGGTACCGGAGCCCTCGGGATGTGCAAGACCAGCTAAAGCTAAAGCTTAAAGCTAACCTGTTGATACGAGCTGCTCATCAACATATTAAAAGCCTTCATACAAATATCACAATTTTTTTATTTTAACCTACATCTTATTGTAAATGTGCTGATATCCCTCTCTAATCTGATCTGTTTATTCTCATACAGTTAATTACAAAGGATTAGAACTGTTAAAGGTTAATGCAGCTGAAGAAATAACATTAGTCCAGCTGTACTGGGCTGTCAATACTGCAAACATTTTGTTTTATTACTCAATAATGTATAGTTCATTTACAGTACAGTATAATAAAGTTTAAAGTATAATTCGCTTGAAGAACAATACCGGCGTTATTATACAAAACAGTCATTTTGCCTGTTGACATAACAGAAATATACTTTACATGTCCTTTTGTTCCAGGGATCAGACAGAGGAGTGGATACATGACCACCTTATCATCGGGGCCAAAAATAATGCTGCAGTCGGATGGAGGGAAGAGTTGAGGCAGAATTCCATATACATGTTGCATTTCTGTGTAAAAGTCACACAAGTTAAAAGAAGTCCTGTTCAAACACCAAAGTACAAATATAATCTTTTGATCACCACAAATGATGCTCAGATGCCACTTTTTGTAAATCTCATATTTGTGATAGAAGTGATCCTAGTGTGTTTATCTCTTCTCATTTCTGTTGGCCTGGAGGGAAAAGTTGAGCCACAACAGGCCAAAAAAAGTGGGACAGCTTAAAAAAAGAAAATACAAAGTTTGTTCAGGTTTGGATAATGTAATGAAACACACACACACACACCTATATATATATATATATATATATATATATATATATATATATATATATATATATATATAGGTGTGTGTGTAGGGAAATTACATCTTATATTTATTATATTCATGTTAATTTACACTTTCAGTAAGCTTAAAAAAGTGATCTCCAGGTTACCATTCCAAAGTCTTTTTCTGTAGAATTTCATCAATCCATCCAAATCATGAAACATTCCTTTTTTCTAGCTTTAAAGAAACACTACAGAAAATAGCATCTGTTGATACAAATTGTTTTTTTCTCTACTTTAGGAATGCAAAGATCAGGGGACAGGGCAGGGGGTCAGTGGGAAGCCTACTGCTGCCACCTGGCCCTGATTTGTCCTCATGGATGAGGTATTAGGACAGAGACCCTCTATTGCCCCACCTGTCCTAATTGCCTCCATCCCTGAGGACACACCAGGGCCAGGTGCTGCAGAGGCTGAGCAGCATCAGGGTGGATGAGGATGAGAGAAGAGGGAAAGGAGGAAGAGAAGAAGGAGTGACGAGTTGGTGGATTTGATCAGGGAGGATATCAGATGACAGAGGGAGGCGGAGG